TGGGAAAGAACTGACAGAAGTCAAGATTTCCGGGCTGTCTTGACCAGTTGGCCCGGAAGGCTAGTTTGGAGAGGTTATCTAGGTTGAACTCAGCAAGCTCTGCACCTCTGGGCATCCCTCCCCAACTATCTCTTACAGGTTTGGAGTAAAAGAAAAAGAAGACCAGATGGAGGAGTTTTCTGCAGAGCTTGCCTTTATAGTTCCCAGTCTCCTTTCCTGGCATCCTTTCCCTGTAAGCACATGCATCTAGGGCCTTCTGGCTTCCTTCTCAGCACAGCAGGAAAGGGTGTGGCATTACCATTTCCACGGAAACACGGGAGAAGTCTAGCAGGATAGCTAAAAGCAAGGCCTGCCTGGAATCCAAATCCAGGGCCAAGAACCAGCTGGGCTGGTGGGCGCCTCGTCGCCTGACCGCCAAGGGAAAGGATTGTGTATGCTGCTCTCTCCCACCTCTGCTCTGCCAGGGGGCACCTGCATGTACAGACCCCTGGCTCACTCACAGTCACTTACTAATGCCCGTCTCTAGGACTCCGGGACAGACACATACCTGCCACCCATCAAATTCTCTTAAAGAACTGACTCAGCACTACTGGGCACTGACTGAATCCAGTGAGCTGGGTTCAAACTAGAGGGTAACTATTTTACAGATGGCCACACAAGGTTCAGAATAAAAAATAGATGGTTCTCAAATGCTGCTGCAAGAAACGAGGATCCCAGTCCTTATGGTGATGTGGTCACTGGTCCTCAGAAAAACTAGAAAAATTAAAATGCAACGCAATTTCAAAAAGCAGAAATTATTCCATCTTCTGCTTGTAAGGTTACAACCGATCTTCCTTTCTTGTGTCTGTGTGGGACAGCTTGAAGTGATTGATCCTTCTTTTACAAAGTGATGTTGATGGGAGCTGGGGTTTGAAACTTGATCTTTTGAATACTTTTACTGCTGGTATGCTAACTTTTAAATAATTTTAACTTGAATTATTTTATTCTCATTAAAAAAAAAGAGTTCTTTATGTATGCATACAAGTACTGAGGTACAGGCCAGCAGTGTAGGTGATGAGATCATTCACCAGAGACAGAGCGGGCAGATTTAATGAAATACATGTTGAGGGGAGCAGCAGGTGAGACAGGAGAGGTCTGCTGTGCCCCGTGGGTCAGCTCCCTGGCCGGGGATTAAACTCTGCTCAAGCAGCAGCGGCTGCAGCTAACTTTGTAGTGCTGTGCTTAACCCCTTGCACCACCAGGGAGGCCCTAACTTTAATTATTTTAAATATTTAATGACTTTAATTATAAATTCAACCTTAAAATTAAAAGGATTAAGTAAGTATTAACATTTTAAATCAGATACTATATTGCATACTTTAAAACATCTTCAAATAAAACTCGGACGATGTTAATTCTCATGTGGACAGGGCAGGTGATAAAATGAAGAAGGCTGGGCAGAGGTGCAGTTTATGACCTCCACCTTGTGGCATTCCAAGACCAGAGAGAGGAGAGCACGCCTCTGCACGCCCTTAAGCACAGCATTGCAGGGAGTAGGTCTCCCCCTGCCGGCAGGTGGTGGCAAAATCAGTCTTAAACCAAGACTGGCACTGAAGTCTCAACACGGCAAGGACTCGACATCATGAAGTGTTGCTTAGGAGCCAGCCTCCCTCCCAGAGCTCAGCCTGAACAAGAGTGTGACAACAGAGGTTAAAGAGCCCTCAGCATCAGGCAAGTAGGGAAACGTCAACAGCGATGTTGAGTTACAAACCCTGATGAATGAAGGCTTTTTTTTTTTTACATGCTTGATTAATATAAAAATATTCACGCCCTCCCTGGCGGCACAGTGGGTTAAAGCACAGCACTGAGAAGCGAAAGCCACTTCCGCATGAGTTTGATCCCCGCCTGCCCCGGAGGTGACCACATGGCGTTGCAGACCTCTCCTGACCCGCCCGCTGCTCCCCTCAGCAGTGTACTTCCTCGATCTGCCTGTTCTGTTCCCCACTCTGTCTTTGGTGAAGTCTCTCGCCGCCCTTGAGTCTCTGGCCTGTACCCCAGTTCTGTATGCACAAATAAATAAATCTTTTAAAAAAATATTCAGCATCTATTTTCATGAGTAACATTCTATAAGTCTATCGAGCCATACAGTAGCATAATAAAATTTCTTTTTTTAATAAAAGATTTATATTTTTATGTATTCATACAAGAACTGAGGTGCATGCCAGTGGTGGTACGGTGGGTGAGAGGCTTCACCAGAGACAGAGTGGGGAGCAGAACAGGCAGACTGACTGAAGTATACTACTGAGGGGAGCAGCGGGTGGGTCAGGAGAGGTCTGCCACGCCATGTGGGTCAGCTCCTTGGCTGGGGATTGGACTGAGGTTGCAGTGGCTGAAGCACTGAGACTTAACCCCTGCACCACCAGGGAGGCCCCACTACCAAATTTCTCTTTCCTACAGTATGGTAGTCTTTTAGGGGACTTGGACTCCCGGCACCTCTGCAGGAGCTATGCTTTTGCTGGTTTCATTTATTCACTTTCATCTGCTGTGTATTTTGCTCTCATTTCACTCACTTCATTACTGTGTATCTAACTTTCAGCAGTCCTTAATGCTTTACTTCAAGGTCTCTTCCAATAACAAAACATTAGCTTTTGTCAGAGTTCTCTTAACAAATCCTCATAGTGCCTATTATAGAGTGTGTCTTTATTTCCTATGTGGGATTCTAAGGAAGGCAGACTGTCTTACTGTACCTCAAAAAGAGGCAATGTAGCTTAATGACTACAAGTTAGGATTTATAAAACAGACCTCAGAAATCCAACAGGGAAATGAGGCTGCCAGAGAGGGTGGGGCCCAGCGAACTCCCTGGCATGTCACTGGGCTGTCGCTGGTGGGCAGTGTGGAGGGGTATGAACCTGGCTTGTAAAACAAGTACAGTGCTGTAAACCAACCCTAGCGCAATTAACATTTCTTTTTTCAATCCTGGCTTTAGCAGTTGTGTCATGGGCATGAACTTCAGAGCCCTCGTCCACGTACTGGAAATGATCCTAACACCACCCTCATGAATGTGTCAAGGAATCACAGGAGAGTGCAAAGCTGCATTTATCTTAGTCACTTGATAATTGTTTACTATTGTTCTCCCCCTAAACAAAAGCCTTATATGCTGTAAGTGATGGCAGCGTGGAGTAGACAAATTTAGGATGGAAGGTCTCTCAAGGACAAACACCAGAGGTGGGGGTAGGGATTAACAAATCTTATTAAACAATTCTGTTTCCTGGAATCACTGGCAAGATCAGCAAAGATTATCAGCCAAAGATGGGGGCAGAGAGGAATATGGTCACAGAAGACTAACCTGACCGGACCCCAAGGCTATAAATTCCATCTCAAAAAATCTCAAAGCCCACAAAACCAGAGCACCACTTTGCTGTGGCAAAATCAGCTGTCCAACCACCAGTGCCTGTGCAGGTGCCTGTCTCTTTCCTGTTGATAATAAACTTGCCCATGCAGGTGAAAGGAGCGTCTGCATTCCTGCTCAGAGGTACCCAAGAACTGTCCTCCCATCATCTGACCCCCAACATAGTTTATGCACTGCCATTGCATGTCCAGCAGACTGAGGGGTTAAAGAATGGTTACAGCAATTTCCCAGAGAAATCAGAGGGCAGATTTATTTGTCACACTGGCGGGCTCAGTGGGATCAGTCCCAAAAGGCTGAACCCCGAATAAGAGGAATGGTGAGGTTTTACACAGACTGCAGGAAGAACCTTGTCATCCCATCCATCACAGCGCATGCATTCTTGATTGTTTGGGAAGGGGGTCAAGATAGCCAAAGCTGCTACTGTGGACAAGCAGCACGCTACAGGGACTTTCTTCTCCAGGAAGCGGCAGAATCCCAGGCTCCCAATCAGCTGGCCTGGGAAAGTGGCAGAATCTAAGCAGACTCAGGAAAATTTCAGCTTTAGAATGACCTAGCAGTCCCTGAACCAGAAACCCTCACCCCTGCACCTTGTCAGCGCTGCCCTGACCCTGGCCACTGCTATATATAATCTGCCCTCCAATGAAGAAGCCACCAGCCACATGTGTTTGCTGAGGACTTGAGCTGCGGCCAGCGGCCAGGGTGAGGAATTGGGGGTTTTCCTGTGATTTCATTTTAATTAATTCAATAATCCCTAGAGGTTTGTGGGTCATTCGCCTCCAACCGGCAGCAATCTTTAAAATCACCCTTGTCCTTTTGCTTGTGATGACATTTTTCCTAATCTAGGAACCAACCCAAGATTCTGCAGCCCAATTTCAACCGACTGCAACCCCTTTTCTGCACGGCGGCGCGTGGCACTGTGACACTTCAGCTAGAGCTGGGCTATAAGCAGTAGCCTGAAAACAACCCAGGCCGTGCTGGGCTATAAGCAGTAGCCCAGGTCTCGGACGGCCGCCCGGGGCCACGTGACCGTGCGGACACGAAGGGCACGAAGTGGCTGCAAAATGCAGACAGCGTCCGCGCGCAGCGGCCAAGCGAGGGGGCGGGGCGCAGCCGCCACAGGCGTGGCAGAAACGTGAGCGGCGGCGGCAGACCCGCCTCCACAGGCTGAGGCCGCCGGCTGCGCGCGTGCAAGTCAGCGTGGTCGGTGGCGGTGACAACCTCGCGGTGTCGCGGCGCACACTCAAGCAGCCTGGCTCGCTCACTCGCCAGCCGCTCCCACGGGGGTATGACGCTGGCCCACGGCCGGCCTCTCCAAACCCCTGCTGGAAACAGCGCCCGGTGGCTGCGCCCGGTCCCCGCGCAAAATGGCGGCAAACCTGAGGAACCATAGAGACGAGCGCCTTCCGCGGAGAGCGCAGGCTTCTGAGGGACGTCGCGCTGCCCGGAGAGGCGCGAGCCCCACACGCTTCCGAGGGCTCGTCTAGGAGAACCGCGCGCCGTCTCCATGGTCCGGGGCCTCCGGGCCGGGTCACGTGGCTGGCTGACGCCGTCGCGGAGGCGGGGGGAGGGTAAATGGGCGGAGGCCGGGCGGCGAACGCGGGGGATCGCTCGACACCCGGCGACAACCGGGTTGTCATGGAGCCGCGGGGCCGGGCTCGCGCATGCGCTCCTGGACCTGCGAGTCCGGTTGTGGAGCGGCGATTCCGGCCCTAGGTGAGAAAGGGAGGGCTGGGTGCGAGGGGAGGGGGCTTAGCGCGGAGCTTGGGGAAAGGAAGGGAGAGTAGGGGCGACGGGAAGCGAGGAGGACTGGAGGGAGAACCGAGGGTCTGGGGGGGCAGAGAGCCAAACGGTGGGAGCAGGGGATGGTGCGCCCCCATTTATTTGCTGTGGGCAGCGGGACTGCGTGGGAGAGGGCGTGGGAGAGGGCGTGGGATGAGGAGGGGTGTACGGGAAGGGGGTTGTGAGGAGCCAGTATGTTGAGACCTTTAGGGCTGGTGACCCCTGGGGCTGGTGGGGGTGGGGGAGAGAGGGCAAAGCTTGGCCACAGGGAGGGGCGGGAGGACCAGCCGGGCTGTGAGCAGAGGGGCAGGTAGGTGAGTGGGCTCAGGGACTGGCAACCTGGTGAGAGGCCAGTTTGGGGTCAGTGCCCCATTCTGTACTTCAGTGCACAGGTGTGTTGTCTTCCTGGTATCTGTTGTCACCTACTTTGCTGGTTATTTCACCTTTGTCGCCAGGTTGCCAGGCCTGGTGCCAAGGAGTGGGAAGGTGGGCATGGCTCAGTTAGGAGCTAGTGGATGGGTTGGGGGGGATCTCCGATCCAGGGCACAGGCCACAATGCCAGCCTCCCTGTCATTGCCCAAGTCCTGGCAGCTGGCATTGCCTGGGCGTTTGCCCTGGGAGGCTGGTGGTATGCCAGTCACAGCACTGTCCTAGGGTCTGCCCAGTTCTGCCCTGCTGAGCTGGCAGGCTGGTGGATGCCTGGAGGGTGCTCCTGCTGTCTGGCACAGATGCAGCGTGGGCTGGTGCGAATGGGGAGGTGGGTACTGGTACTGTGAACCCTTTCTCAGAGCAGGGGACGGAGGAAATTCTCTTTCCTTACCCAACTCTTTGAAAGGCAGGGGATGGAGTGAGCCCCACTTGGTTTCAGACAGAGGACACTATGGAATCAGAGTTCACCATCCCTGACATGAATTCCTGGCCAAGTTGCAGAATGGAGGAGATCTGAAAGGGCTATTAGAGACTGAGGTAGATGGAGGCTTACTGGCCTCTGTTGAAATGCACAGATATTCCTCCTGGATGATATCTCCTAATGTGCAGGTCAAGGGAAAGTGCCTTCAGAGAAAACCTAGCATTGTAATTCTAAGTAGGATTACTCAGGGTTCTGGGGTGGTAAAGTCTTCCTTTGATATGGCTTGTTGCCTTACAACAGTGTTTAAGTGTCTGCCTGGGCTTTCACCTCACACCTTTGTCCATGCATGCATGTTATACACGTGACACCTTTTAAAGGGAACTTGAGCTCTCAGGAAAGTTGCCAAGTATCTATAAAAAGAGATCTGAGAGCAGCATTTCAGAATCTTTCCTTGTAAATCCCGGGTCTCCTTTTTATCATAAACCTAAATCTCCAAAGAGGTTGTAGATTACAACAGCCTTTAATTTGGTTGGTGTATTTATCCTTGAGGTTTCATTTTAGAATGAAAGGGTAGATGAGCTGTTTCCTGTAGGAGGCCAGACCTGGAAATTAGATCTGGAGGTGACCATAGTGTTTGGAAATGCAGAGTCCTGACCTTCAAACTGTTCAGGTGTTTTGGTGACAGCTACGCCACTCGCCACTCGGGCTGTCAGCGAGACTCAGCAGGACAGCAGACTTGTTGGCATTTATTATCCTGTGGGGTACTTGACATACTAATTTTGGGGGGCTGAGGTTGCAAAAATGCAAAACTAACCCTTGAGGTTGAGGAACAAGCAGATAATTTGACTCTCACATATAAAAAAAAATGCAAAAGTAGAACAAAGTCTGTAGAACACTTGTCAGAATTTTATCCCTGCCTAGGTAGCCTTCAGTATGGTCTGCTTCACAGCCTGCTATGAGTCGAGTGTATCCTCTCTGAGAACCCTTTGCAGAGTGTGCAGCACTTGAGGGTCAGAAATGTTTGCACAGTAGTGGTAGTGGTTTCCAGTCGGTGCCAGGAAACAGGTAAGAGCTGAGTGACCCATTTTCAACCCCTAGTCAGTTTAGCATCTAACTTTATTGGAAAGTAAAACTGAGGAAAAACATCTCCTTGAGGTTTCAGACTGGGTCTGAGAACACAGGTAGTCAATGCCATGACAACGTCTAGTGCTGGCCACGGAGGGGCCCAGTGGTGCTGAGTATGAGCAGGCAGGCCTGTTCACCACCAGCTGACTCTAAACTCGCCCTCTTCTGGGGGGCTAAGGTGGTTAAGGGGGTTGTAGCCCTTTATTCTCCATGGCACTTAAACCTCCCAGGGACACAAACCGAGGCTTCCTCCTATTTAGAGAGAACTTTACTTAGGACACAGGATTTCATATTTTTAGTCACTTTCATATCCAAAGTAGACAGTTTAGGTTCTAAAGTACATCATGCGTTCTTCATTTCAAACGGCTGCTGGTTCCCCAGGAACGCTCATGTTCGCATCTGTTCTTTTTTTTTTTTTTTTGTTATCCAATTGTCAGCATTTTATTGTTTTGATCCTACACTCATTATTGTCCTGCACATTCTGGATGAGCCAAATGTTTTTCTTGTGTGTCTTTGTAGCTCCCCTGACTACATTTTAACAATAGTAGCAAGACCTTCCTTATAGACGTGTCACAAGGATTGTTGAAGACTAAAGGGGTCATTTTATCTAAAAGAGCCACAAAATAGTACATGTTTAATAAGATTATGTGAAGCTGTCAAGTCCTTAATTAGTTACGACTAACATGAACTACCTTCCTCATCTAAACCCAGCACAGTCAGACTGGAGTGTGATCGCCCATCTACAAGCTACACCCACTTCCATTTTGAAGAACCTCCTCAGATACAGCTTCAGTCAAAGAGAGGAAACAATGCACATTTGCTGGACTTCATACTAAAAGATCCTGATTTAATTAGAGATAGTTTTACATTTTATTTGCTATTTCCAACTGGGCTGGCCATGCTGTCAAACTCCACAGCCATCCAATAAAAGAGACACTGCTGTTGCCCACTGCTAAGCAAGATGTGGCAGTGCCATTATCTGCTCTGCACCTCGTACTAAAAATGACCCTCAGAGTGCTCGGTGTGCCATGACTTGGAGAAGCCAGGCCCCTTAAGTGAGTTAAATGCAGCGCACAATCATTTGACTTGGAGTTGTGTTTAAATTGCGGTATCGTTCAGATCAGGGTGCTCCCTTTAGCCCTTTCCTGCTGTAGGCAAAAAGTATGAGCAAGAGGGTTACTCAGGGACACCCAGCCATCCCTGTCTTCTATTTAAAATTTGGATTCCCTCCTCTGCTTGTGGAGTAGTTGGTGATCTTCACCAGAGCCTGTGTCAGCGGAAGTGTTCAGACTTGGCATTTAGTAGGGTATCCCAAATACAGTTCTCTCCACTCAGGGAAGATGGATGGAGTCAAGAGTAGATTATGACTTAAACATCAGAAGCTTTGCTTACATCTACTGTAACAAAATACTGCAGACCAGGGTCGTTTATAAACTGCAGAAATACGGCTCTAGAGATTGGAAGTGCCAGCACGGCCTGGTGAGGGACCTTCCAAGTCACAGACGGCTCACTGTATCCTCACATGTAGAAGCGGAGAAGGATCTCTCCGGAGTCCCTTTTATAAGGCATTCATCTCTTTCATGAGGGCCCCCACTCCTGATTTTCTCTGGGGGTTAGGATTTTAGTATGTGCGTTGAGACGCACTGAGACAACAGTACCTCCCCAGTGTCATTATTGTTTCCCTCTCCCCTCAGTCCCTGTGTGTTGTAGTCATGTCACCTCTATAACTGCCATTCTTTGCTGACTCGGATGGCCCTGTTAAAATATCTGGAGGGTTCTCAGCCTCTTCTAGCCCTTTAAAGGAGTTGCCTCATTCTTTGCACCAGATCTGTTACAGACTCTGTATGTCATTGGGCACATCTCGGCACCTCACTGGGTTCCTAAGCGTCCGTGTGACACTATACCCAGCATCTCTGCCCAGACGTCCCTGGTCGCTTTGGTCTCCAGACTACACTAGCCTAGTCACCCCACCCAATTCTGCCGGAGCTCTTGTTGGGCCCCTAGCTTAGAACATGATAATACCATCTGACCCCCCAACACATTGTCACCAAGCCTCATCCAGTCAGCCTCCTAAATTTACCTCTAATCTGTTCACGTCTCCCTCTCTCCTGCCACCACCCCAAGCCACCTGGACTACTCTGCTGGTGTGCGACCTGTCTCTTGCCTCTACTTTCATCGCAGTCCAGTATACAAAATGTGTTTGAAAGGCGGGTCTGATCGTGCACTGTTCTAATTAAAATGCTTCCTAGCTTCTCACTGCTCGCTTGCTCTTTTTTTTTTAAATTTTATTTGTTTTTTTTGTTTGTTTGTTTTTTTAAAGATTTATTTATTTGTGTATACAGAACTGGGGTACAGGCCAGAGGCTCAGGGGCGGTGAGAGGCTTCACCAGAGACAGAGTGGGGAGCAGAACAGGCAGATTGACAAAGTACACTGCTGAGGGAAGCAGCAGGCGGGTCAGGAGAGGTCTGGCTCGCCATGTGGTCTCCTCCGGGGCAGGCGGCAGGCGGGAATCGAACTCATGCGGATATGGCTTCAGATTCTCAGTGCTGTGCTTTAACCCGCTGCGCCACTAGGGAGGGCCTAAATTTTATTTGTTTTTTTTTTTTTTTAAAGATTTATTTATTTATTCATACAGAACTGGGGTACAGGCCAGAGATGCGGAGGGTGAGAGGATTCACCAGAGACAGAGTGGGGAGCAGAACAGGCAGATCAACGAAGTACACTGCTGAGGGGAGCAGCGGGCGGGCCAGGAGAGGTCTGCCACGCCATGTGGTCACCTCCGGGGCAGGCGGGGATCGAACTCATGCGGAAGTGGCTTTGACTTCTTAGTGCTGTGCTTTAACCCACTGCGCCACCAGGGAGGGCCCTAAATTTTATTTGTTTTTACATAGAAGAACTGGGGTGTGGGCCAGCAGTGTGGGGGTGAGCGGACACACCAGAAACAGAGTGGGGAGCAGAATAGACAGATTGACTGAAATATACTGCTGAGGGGAGCAGAAGGCAAGACAGAAGTCTACTGTGCCTTGTGGGTCAACGCCCTGGCCGGGGATAGAACTCAGGTCATGGGGTAGTGGTGTGAGACTTAACACCGAGGCCATGCTTGCCACTGCTCTTAACAGCCTTTACGAGTTTCAAGGGTGTGAGACTTAACACCGAGGCCATGCTTGCCACTGCTCTTAACAGCCTTTACGAGTTTCAAGGCCTTGCTCTCTGACTCCCTCTACCCTCTCCACTTACTGTGCTCTGGCCTCCTGCTCTTGAGAGTGTTAAGCTCCTTGCTCCCTGAGGGCCGTCACACTGCTGGGAACCGCCCCTTCCTTCACCCTACCCCATCTCCTCTTCTTGGCTCACTCTACTACATGTCACATGTCTCTAGCTGCATGTCACTTCCTTTGGAAGGCCTTCCCTTCCTTGGTTTCCCCAGACTATGAGCCCCTCCCCAATAGCTGTTATCCAAACAGTAATTAATAAATTGTGTGGTGACTTGACCCATGTTTGTCCCTCTTCTAAACCATGTCTGTTCTGCTCACTCTGCATCTCCAGTCTGACACAATACCTAGTTCACAGCGGGCACTCTATAAATATTTTTAACTGAGCCTCAGCTTCTTCCTCCGTACAAAGGGGAAGCCACCGAGGAGGACCTTGCGAGGCTCGAATGAGAGAACATTAAGGACAACGATAGGGCGGGTTTTTATAGAATCAAAACACCATTGTGTGCAAGCTTATTACAGTGCTTTGGAAAAGCCAGAAAGTAGCATGCACCTGTAAGGAATTGCTTTTACTCTGTTCAGTAGCTTATCCAAGGAGTGAAAAGTGGATTTGAGCAACTGCACTCTGGGAGTGGCAGTAAGCCAGGAGTGGCAAGCGGAGCTGGGAGGCAGGCCTTGCCCGTGGGTGGGCGATTGCCTCCGCTGGGGACCAGGGCCAGCATCCCGTCCAAAAGCCTAATCAAATCTGCCTTTGTTAGCAGTTTACAAAGCTTCCTCTGAGTGTGGTTTGTGTGTCTTGAATTTGTAATGGAATTAGAGGACAGTGACCCTCCTCCCAAACCATTCTGCTGTTTGGTAAACTTGAAGCCTTGAGAGCAAGTGGGCAAGGCCATGTTCTGCCCTTAGTGTACTCAGCTCATGGGTCGCCTGTCATCGCTCCAGGCAGTGACTTCTAATGTAATTGTTTTTCACAGAGCAATCCCAATGAAAAGAGTACTGATGAATCTACTTCCAGCCCAGTAAGTCATGGAGAGGAAAAACCCACCCAGAGAGAGTCCCCGGAGACTCTCGGCCAAACCAGGCAAAGGCACAGACTCGAAGAAAGGCGCTCGGCAACTCGGCCTGGCAGCTGCTGAGTCAGATAAGGATTCTGGATTTTCAGGTTAAAAATACCTTCTCTTTTCGACTTTGTAATGAATGATTTGCCCCAAAAGTCCTCTCTGACAATCGGAAGTGTCATATGCAAGAAAAATAGCTTTCTGACTTCTTAAAATGGCAATTCTGATGCCTCATGCAGGTACCCACCAGAATTGTGGGGCTGGTTCTGAGGAAACAATTTCGTCCTTTTTTAGTTCAGCTTCTCAACTTTAAATCTTACATTTCCAACTACTACAATTATTTACTGAGGGAAAAAATCTAGGTATTCTTAGTTCTGTTTGTCGTCTTGGCTCTTTTTTCATAGGAATAGTTACACTGCACACACACACAAATTCTACTGCATGTTGTCACCATGTCACAAACCAAGAGTGCGGTATAATTCCTTTTTTGCTAAGGAAGTAATGTTGCTGTATTTTAAAGGAAGAACAGTTTCCCTCCTCCCCTCCCTGCCTAAGCCCAACCTGAAAGGACTAGCTGAAGACCTAATGTCTTGTAATGTCATGTGGAGGCCCTCTTTCATTTCTAGGCCTGCTGCTCTGTTGTCAACATATTTGGCCCAGGGTGGGGGTGGGGGTTGGGGGCGGAGGGCAGGGAGAAGGGGTGATGTTAGGGGATTCTGGCTGGGTCAGCATCCTAGACAGGAGGGCCCTCTCCTAGAGGAAAATTTATGTTACTCCTACTCACAGAGACTAATAGTCCATCCTCATTTACAGTGAGAAATGCAGCTGTTAGAAAAATAGACCCTTCTCACCCTTAGGTTGGTGCATTTTTCCCCTGGTCATGCTGCTGAGAAGCTGGATTATAAATAGATTGTTACTCAGAGCAGAGCAGAGCACTGGCAGCCAAGGGATTAGGGTGCGGGCAGTCCAGCCCGTGGAGGGCTAACCAGCTCATGGGGCTTTTCTTCTGTCTCTTCTCATTGTTTCCCAAGCTTGCCTCATCTGAGGTATTTAGATATATGGATGACCAGACCCTGCTCCTGCAGGTGATGATATCAGGGATTTGGGTGAGGGCCTGGGATGTGGGATTTATTTATATATATATATATATATTTATAAGTATCTGATGATTTGGTACTCGGACATGTTTGGGAAACATTACGGGCCTAGTCTCTCCTTTAATCTCTTGTTTTTTTTAAAGGGTAGGTTTTAAGATTTTTGTTTATTTATGCATACAAGACTGGAATGCAGGCCAGAGGTGTGGGGGTTGAGAAGGCTCACCAGAGACAGAGTGGGGAGCAGAATAGGTGGATCTGCTGAAATATACTGCTGAGGAGAGCAGCAGGCAAGACAGGTCTGCTGTGCCATGTAGGTCACCTCCCTAGCCGGGGGTCGAACTCATGCCACAGTGGCTTGCAATAATACTGAGACTTTAACCCCTTTGCCACCAAGGAGACCCCATTTTTCTTTTAAAATCATGTTTATTTTTCCCCGTTTCATGTCATGAATGTTAATACATGTTCATTGTGAAAACTGAAAAATCTGGGCACGTGTGGAGAAGAAAACAGCCTCTCTCTGTCATCCTGCCACTTGGTATCCCCAGCACTGGACAGCCTGATGCTGCTTCCACCGATTTCGACTCCATCAGGCCTGTGGTTCTGAAGTGTGTCCCAGGGTGAAGATTATTTGTTCTGATAGCTTCCTTATTCTCTGTGCAGAGCTACTATAAGAAGTACTGTGTTGTTCAGACACAAGTGATATGAAAAATAACCAGGCTCCTTGTGTCCCAAGCAGGTGGCTGTGATGAGCACCTCCAGCTACTTCTGGGCTGGGCAAGGCACCAGTGGTCACTCAGTGCCTGAGTTAGCATTCTAGTCACCTTCATGTGTGCTAGAAAACCAAAGTAGTTTTCTCCATTTTAGTTCTTTTCCCACCTTGACATTTTGAAAAATTTCAAATCTCCAAAAGTGAGTGAATACTATAGTGCTCTCTCCCTCGGATCCACTGAGTGATATTATTTTGCCAGAATTGCTGTCTCTTCCTGTCCACACACTTGCCATTTCATCCCTGAAGACTTCAGTCTGAGTCTCCTAAAACAGTAGCATTCTTCTACATAGTTACAGTATCATTACCCTACCCAAGGAATTTAACATTGACGAGTCGGTCATTTGCTGCAGTCGGGGTTGCTTTGTTCCAGTGGTGTCTGTATTGCTAAGTCTTCTGTGTGTATGTTTTGGACCCAGGATCCAGCTGAGAACTATATGTTTTGTTTAGCTGACCTGCCTATTTAGTCTTATTTAGTTCAGGACAACCTAATCAGCCTTTTTTTTTTCTCTCTTTTTTTTTGTAACATTGACATATTTAGTTAGGTGTTGTCTTACAGACTGTCGCAAACTAGATTTTTCTGGTAGCTTCCCCATTATTAGAATCAGGATAAACACTCTGATTTTTTGATATTATAGCCCTCTTATTGCAACATATAAGGAGACTCCTAAGATTGTCTTATTTTTGGTGAAATGTCCAATTCACCTGGTTTGATTACTTGATTAAGTTTGATATGTGAGTTCCAGATTTCTCTATTGTAAAAGAGTTCTTTTTATAATTAACAAACAACTTATGAAATGATGCTTTGAGATTGTGTGCCTATCTTTTTTTTTTTTTTAAATAATACAATAGTTTATTTTCACATCATTTTGTGCCTTTTTCCATCTCAGTTGTAATCCCTGTGGGCTTCCCACCACCAAATCACCTGTGTGCCATCACCATAGTCCCGTGCACTTCTCCCCCCCAACCCCTTGCCTATTCTGTTTTTTGTTTTGTTTTGTTTTGTTTTTTAACAAACTCTTGCTGGTGGTTTTAGCATCCATTGAGGAGATTTGCCTGGATCAGTTACTGCCTTCATGGGTTAAAAATGGTGATCAAAACTCATCAGTCCTTGTACATTTTATTAGCCCTTGTACATTTTATTAGCTGGCATTCTTCTATACAGAGGCATGTTCTTTCCTCCATCCCCGTTTTGGAGTAACACTATGGATTTGTGGAATTCTTTTGTAATTCAGTTTGTCAGTCCATCCTCATGATTCTTTTTGATACTCAGATTGTCAGACTAGGGCAGTTTGGCCACTGGAAGTCTCTTCTATGTCACTCCTATGTCTTTCCACCATTTGTATTTGAGCACCTCCTTGCTTTCTGGGGCAGTAAGGTATTCAGGCTCAGCTCATACCTTCCCGCCAGAGACTTGGATCAGCAGCATCTCCAAGGAGCCCTGGCTTTTCTTTGTGCGGTGTGCCCTCCCGAAACCAATATCTAGGCATCAGATACTCACTTTGCTTCCGAGTCCTTTGTTTCTGGCCTAATGTTTCTTAACTAGGGGTGCATAGTTGAATTACTTTCAGTGCTGTGTAAAAATATACCTGCTGGGCACCAAATAAATCAATTCAGTAGATCAAGGGAATGACCCCAAATTCATAATTCCTAAAAAGTGTCACCAGAGATTCTGATTAAATGTAAGTATTGGCAGTTGGATTCATTTAAATTATAGTCACATTCCAGTCCTGTCTCATCCATTTTACTCTGAGATTCTTGATGAGCATTTAGGGTATTCCCAGACTCCTCAATAGCAGGGTTATAGCAGCTTCTTGGTGTACCTCCAGCAGATAGCTAATTAAGTCCTGTTTATATGGATTTCACACGGAGCAACCTTATTGTCTCTGCCTTGGGGATTATCTTCCTATCAGCCATTGTACAGGAGCCTCAGCAGGCACCCCAGCACACATGTAGGGCACCCCAGAGGGGCGTGGGTGGATAACAGAGACTCAGGTTAAACTTCAGCTCCAATGCACAGATCCTAAGTTGTACAAATTAGAAAATTTGGGAGCAACTTTAAATTTATCATGGATATAAGTTTTGAGGTTTACAGGTGGTTTTGTTTTAATTATATCTTCTTGTGCCCAGCTCCCCTAAAAGATTTAATCCTATCCCAGGTCACACACACACTCCCCTCTCCACTCTGCAACACATTCTTGAAAGTAATAAACTAACTTTGAAGGTTCAACCCATTTTCCTGTGGATGGTGATCACTTTTACATGAACCCTGATTGACAGGGATAAGAGAAGGAGGAAATCTGCTGCCCGAGGGCAGTGATTCTTAACATTTTGGGGAGGAGAGGGTTAACTACAGACTCCATTGAGAATCCAGTGAAAGTCAAGACTCTCTTCAGAAGAAGTCACAGAACACAGACATTTCGCTCAATTTCAGGGGCCCATGGATTCCTAGTTTAGACCCCTGGTCTAGAGTGTGCATGGACTGATCATTTTTCTGCCCACCAGATGGGAGCTCAGAATGTCTGAGCTCAGCAGAGCAGATGGAGTCCGAGGACATGCTGAGCGCCTTAGGCTGGAGCCGAGAAGACAGACCAAGGCAGAACTCCAAGCCTGCAAGCAATGTCTTCCCTACACTGTCCCCCATGGTTGTCATGAAGAATGTGCTGGTCAAACAGGTAAAGAGGGTCATTGTCTCTTGACATCGATGCAAATTCAAGTTTCTGGACTTCCTGTGTACAGAGCCTCTACCTCTTAGCCAGGGAGAGAGTTTAGAAGTAGACTACTAGAACCACACCGTGTGAGCTTCTGTCTTGGGGGGCAGCATTTCTTTTTAATTCGTGACCATGTTTTACAAACATGGTCACGAATTAAAAAGATGAGAACATGTGTTCTCATTTTTCAGACAGTATGACTGTTTTATTCCTGTACCCCTAGTATATGTTCAAAATACTTGCATCATGCTTAAAGGCCAAGCATGGATGTTTTGCTTCAGAAGTACATTTTAATATATGGCAGACTTTAGGGTAGAAACAAAAGAATCTGTTTAATTTCAGTTGCCCTGGGAATTTAGATACTGAGGAGGCATTTGTTTGAAAAGTTCTAGGCAGTTTCCATGTACCTCATACCATATTTTGAGCATTTTCTTAGTATTCAGTCAGCATCATGTCACTATTAAGAAAGTCACACTTTGACTGAGGTAAAGCTGTAGCATTAGAGTCCACACAGCATTGCTGAGGAGCTGAAAGTGTTGTTTCAGGCTCCCTCACCTAACAGTGCATATTATGTGACTATTGTCTACATATGAAAGAAGACTTCAATTGGGCTCTGAGCTCAGTCAGCCCTAGTGTTTGAAACAGAATTTAATCACATGAGCTGGGTATAAGATAGAATAGTGAAGTCTGAGGATTTGAAATGATTGTTAGAAGCCAGAGAACATTTAACCTTACCATACTTTGCTCTGTTGAAATAGATGAGTTCCCGAAGTAGTCTGTTGACGTGGCTGCTTGAAGATAGTGAAATCTGATCTTTTGTTGTTGACCTTCCTACCTTAGGTAGACCATGGCTGACAGGAATCTGTGCGTCTTAACTGTTCCCTAGTTATTTTGAGGAACACAAACTGATTTTCAGCAAGGCAGCCTGGTGAGTTTGGGGAAAGAATTTGAAGATTTTTGCTTGGCAAATCACATCTCAGCTGGAAACATTGCTCCACTTATTGAAAGGAAAAGAGAGAATAAAAACATGAAATGGAGCCCAGATGAGATCCTCCAGGTCCCTAGTGCTGCCATGCTTCTCAGGGCTTCCCTCTTCATGGCTCTCTGTCTGCACACCTTCCTCTCTGAATCTCTCGTCGCCCTTTTATACACCTCTGTTGTAGGCGAGGCTGGCAGCTCCAGAGGGCTGAGAACAGCCCACAGTTGTGGGGTGAGTAGGCTTTTCCAGCAAAGCCACATTCTTCATGAGAGACTGCTAGAGGCTGCTGTGCTTGGTCAGGAAATAGGAGGTTTCAGGAACAGGCTGAATAACAGGTCGTTTTTGTTTTTTTTTTTTTTAATTGAGGTAATGTGATTCAGACGCATCACATTCTGCCCAGAAGCATGTCTCCACAGCACCCACCCCCCTCACCCCCCCGCCGAGTCACCCAGCATCCTTCACCATAGTCCACGACGGTGTCCCTCCCCACTTTGTCCTCCCTCCTGCCCTTCTCCGTCTGTAGCCTCAGTTCCACAATCAGATTTCTAGGGTTTGTTATTATTGGTTTAGTTTTGTGTGATCCTTTGTTTTGTTTCTCTGTATTCCACATATGTGTGAAACCATCCAGTATTTATCTTTTGCCTTCTGACTTACTTCACTTAGCGTTGTCCCTTCCAGCTCCATCCATGTTGTTACAAATGGAAAAAGTTCATCTTTTTTTTCAAATCCACTCATCTGTTGTTAGGCACCTGAATTGTTTCCATACCTTGGCTATTGTAAATAGTCCTGCAGTGAACAGAGGAGCACATACGTGTTTTCAGATGAGTATTTTTTGCATCTGGATAGATTTCTAAGAATTGAATTGGTATCTGAATCCTATGGTAGGTCCATTTTTAATGTTTCGCAAAACCTCCATGCTGCTTTCCACAGGGCCTGAGCCAGGCTACGTTCCCCCAGTAGGGGGGCTTCTTTTTCTAGGAGTATTGTTTCTGATTGCATGCGAGTATACAGCACAATCTAAATGATCGACTTTTTAGAATATCTGCAAATTGTGTGATGTCTTGATTATTGTTGCGTGGTTTAAGGTGAGTTTTTGAATGGCTGATTCTAGTTCTGCTGCTGGTGGGCTATGTGATTTTGCATATAATTACTTAACCACCATGAACTTTCATTTCCTCATCTTTAACATGAAGTGTTATGTGCAGTGGTTTTTAGTTCCTATTCAAGTCTAAAATCTTGTTCCCTCAGATGACTTCAACATGAATAATACATTGTAAAGTCTAAGCTCTGTAAGCTCTATATCTACCAGGGTGGTAGGCATAAAGCAGCATTAGGAATCACCTTGAGAGAGCAAAGAATTAGAATTTTTCTGGACCCCTTTGCCTTGTAGGTCAACCCTTAGGGCATGACTGATTTGGGGGACACTCTGGAGTTTGCTTCTGACTGAGCTAGTTTGGGATGACCCTGGTTGTGGATCTCCTCTGACTGCGAAATGTGGTTTCTGGGCCAGCAATGCTTGCTTACCTGCATCCTGGAGTGTATTCGCACACCTGAGGGCTCCAGCGTGGGCTCTCCAGGCCACCTCAGGCTTTGCACAGGGGATGAACTATCTTTGGCCTACTCAGGCATCCAGGAGGCTGAAGTGAGTGCAGAATAGTGTGAAGATAGCTCCCTCACAGAACTCAGGTCCCTCTCAGGAGAAGGTCCGTGTCAGGCCTCCCCTCATCGAGACACATACCTTTGGGGCCAGGTTGGAAGTGGACTGGTGTTTAAACATTGGAGACAAGTTAGCCATACCCTTCTTATTCTGACCTCCATCTGAGTTAGAACTTTAGCTGAAAATAAAGAGGCCCGATTGAGGAGTGATAAAACAAGTGGTGGAGCAGAGTGAGTAGGATGAGTCTGAGTCAGAGGGTGGGTGGGATCCTAGCTGCATCACTTGGTGGCTTGATGATGTAGAGCCCGCAGCTTCCCCTTTCTAAGCTTCAGGCTCCTATTTATGAGAGGAAACAATAATTGTGTCACAGGCTTCTGCTAGCCGGATGACTGAGACAAGCCATGTAGAACACATGCAGTGCTGGCCTGGAGCAGACAGCAACACAGGGCGGCTGTTTCCTTCTCGAGCAGCTTTATGGCTACTGGGTGTTACTGCCTTAGAACAGGCCCAAAGACTTCTGAGAGTGTAACTTTTAAACCAAAAGTTGTCTTCAGATAAACGAGGTCCCAGATGTAATTAAAGGAAGAGTCTTCAGTGCACAGTCACATCCATAGATGTGTACTCACGTTGAGATTAGCACATTTAACGTAAGTCACAATACTGTACTGTGTTTTCTTGCCTCATTTGTGACTGTAGCATTTCTTCACCTACCTGTGACTTCTTTTTCTGAGTGATGGCACTGGAGTAATAAAAGGTATCTCCTCTAGTTAGTTTTCCTTAGGAAAAGTAAAAAAAAAACCCAAAAACCTAAAAAACAAATTGTGGCATTAGCCACTAATGGATCTTTAAGCCATTTCTCCACTCATGTTCTTGAAAGGGGCTGCTTTCAAAAATATGATTGGAAACCAAAGAGCTGAAAACCAAGGAGTTAATTCGTCAGAATCAGGCGACTCAGGTATTTGAAATTGTTATAAATATCTGAGCATCTGCTTTGCCCATTAGGTAGAAGCTTCGAGCATCTGTCCTCTGAGCAGGTAAGGAGGGGTACTCTGTCCTTTCCTTCCGTTTGCAGGGCCGCAGCTCGTCCCAGCTCCAGTCCTGGACGGTCCAGCCCTCCTTTGAAGTGATCGCAGCACAGCCGCAGCTTCTCTTCCTCCACCCGCCGGTACCATCTCCTGTCAGCCCGTGTCACTCTGGCGAGAAAAAGTCGGACTCCAGGAACTACTTGCCCATTCTAAATTCTTACACCAAAATCGCTCCGCACCCAGGCAAAAGGGGCCTTTCCCATGGCCCAGAAGAAAGAGGAGACAGTGTTATGCAGAAGAAAATCTGTACTGAGAGACTCGGGCTGAGCCTGTCTTCCAGGGAGCCAGCCAAGGCGGGCGCTGTGCCATCCAGCCCCCCCACGCCAGGCCCGCCCGGCGCCAAGCTCGCAGAGGACTCCGCTCCGCAGGGGGTGCCGTCCCTGGTGGCAGGTGGAAGTCCACAGACTCTTCAGCCGGTCTCTAGCAGCCACGTGGCTAAAGCTCCCAGCTTGACCTTTGCCTCCCCCGCCAGTCCTGTCTGTGCATCAGACAGCACTCTGCACGGGTTAGAGAGCAACTCCCCACTGTCACCCCTGTCCGCTAACTATAGCTCACCTCTGTGGGCCGCTGAGCACCTCTGCCGCAGCCCCGATGTCTTTTCAGAGCAGCGGCAGAGCAAACACAGGCGCTTTCAGAATACTCTTGTCGTCCTTCACAAATCCGGTTTGCTGGAGATCACTTTGAAAACCAAGGAGTTGATTCGTCAGAATCAGGCGACTCAGGTAGAACTAGACCAGCTGAAGGAGCAGACCCAGCTGCTGATCGAGGCGGCCAAGGGCAGGGCTCCCCAGGCTTGGGCCAAGCTGCAGGCCTCTTTAACGCCTGGCTCTAGTCATCCAGGCAGTGACCTGGAAGCATTCTCGGATCACCCAGACATATAACACAGAAGGCATACTTTCCTGTGACTTGAGTGGTTCTTTGTAACTCTTTTTTTGCTGTTTTCTTACTCCTATTTCCCAAAGCTTATGTCAGAGCTTTTTCTTCTAACTTAAATTGTTTAGCAGTTCCCTTATGATGCCACTTTTGAAGTACTTGGCTACTGTCTTAACCTGTGGGCTTTGCACGTTCCACATATGTCTCTACTCCACAGAGGATTCAGGTTCAGAGTGACCTTGAGTCCCTTCTCCTTAGCCTTTAGGCAGAGTGGGCCATGGGGCAGAGCAGGAGAGGTGACTGTGTGGGGCTCTTCACAGCTGTCACCTCCCACTGTCCCGCTCAGATCACAAGCGCAATGACGTGGGTAAGCATACAGAGCGAACCTGTCAAGCCAGGGAGTAGGTGAAATCATGATCCCTACAGTGTCTTAATCACAGAGAAAACTAAGAGGAGGTGTGAGGATTCCACAAGAACTGGCTGTTTGGGTGAAGCTACATGCTCCAGGCACAGGTTGGGTGCAGCAAACAAGCAGTCACTTAAAAGGCTTTGTTTTCTTAAACTTGAAAGTCAAGGAGTAAAAGTAGCACCATTAGCTCTTACACTTCAACCACAGGCCAGACTTCCCTCAAACTGGTCAGAAAATTACTTCAGATTGTTGTGAATGGATTCATTACCACTTAAAATTAGAGTTGATAATTGCTTTCTTGATTTAGAGTCTGAAGAGAGTAGACATGGCTGGCATCTCTTCACCAGAAGCTGGAAGATTCTGGTTGTTTATATTTTTCCCCCTCTTTGGAATCAGTGACCTATTTTATGTGTGAAAACTTTTAAGACAGCTTCACAGTTCTGAGGGAGTATTCTAAGTTAACCAGACCTCTGCTGCCTTTTTTAATTCTTGTTTTCATAAAAGAGGAAATAAGTGATAATTAAGCTCTATAAACTTTGAATCATAAGCATCCTGAGGTTAGGACATAGAAGTCCATGAAAGGGTGGAAGGGCTTTCTTCTACTACTTGCTCTTCACATTCAGCTTTCACTTGCCCGTGTCCCTGCCGTGGAAGGTTCTGAGGCAGAGTGCTCTGTGCTCCTCGTGCAGTAGGTATTGGCTACCAGCCAGCGGCGGCTTTGCAATGCTGGCTGTGTGAAGTTCATCTGGAAATGGAGGGCACGATGAGAATCACTAGGCGATGGACATTCTTTCCTCTTCATTATGAAGGTTAACTTTCGATTTCTAAGTAGTAAAGTCTCAGACTTTTTATCCTCTATTAAAAATGTCATCTTGAAAATCTCAGTCTGAGTTACCATAAGTTCTGTATGACAGCCTTCCTCTTTCCTACAAGGAAAATGTTCTTGAAATCTTACCAAGAGCAGAAGTTTAGAGTCTTGAAATATCTTTCTCATATGTACTAGGAATTTGTAACTTTAATGTAGTTTTAAAACAAGGTGCTTGGTTGCCGGTACTTTGTTCTCAAATAGATCTGATGTGTATAGGACCAGTTTAGAAATAAGCAACTTGGTGAAGTCTCTAAATTTTCCTGATCAGGGCAGAATTACTATTTGCCAGTTGCTTTCTGAAAGAGTTACAAAAACCAGAGCAAAGGTGGCCTTCAAGCAGACTCAGCTTTTAATATTTTTCTCCTGGCATACTCCCTTGGCCCCCCGAATCTCTGTGGTACTATAGAAGCTCTGCTCTGCGCATCATGCAAGGAAGCTTCCTTTTTGGGAGCATATGTTTGGCAGCAAAGCTGTAGAGACAGGTGCATTCAGAACAGCCTGGGCACCAATCATAAGTCTCCCTGAGTGGCAGAATCTGAATACGCTTGATGAGAACCAAATGCCTTCTGTGTAAAACCTCTCTGTGGAGCTATCAGCCTCTTGGACTCTTCTTCCTAGCTGAAGGTTTGCCTTTTCCTTCCTGCCACAGGAAAAGTGATGAAAGCCATCACTGATCCTCACGGCTGAGTAGCAGGGAGAGGTGACACCACTCCCCCACTCATCTTGGATCTTGTAACTTAGCACTGCAAGTCTCTATGCTGTGAGCATGGGTGTTCTTTCCCCAGCGGAGTGATTCGCAGATGAAGCCAAGTCGAGGAGCTAGATCTTGGAAGGTGAGATCCACTCAGGGCTAGCAGACATTGGGGGCCAGAAGCCAGATCGGCAAGTGGACGGACCTCGGCGCTGACCAGGAAGTGCTCCAGTGTTGCACAGGCTGTAAGTAGTAGCGTGTTAGCGGTGCATGATTTGATCTGGTAGGAAGTGCCGTGGCAAAGCTACAGTTTTCTGAAAGTGAAAAGCCTTTCTTACTCCAACCCCTGAAAGAACTTTTGGCAAATTTTGTTGGCCGTATCGAAACACATCTAGAAAAAGCTGCTGACTGAATTGGTTATGGGAACAGAGTTTAATGACATGTGTGATTTATTACCCTCTCACTGCTTCTAATTGATTATAGTATTGTCTGACTTTATTCTGGTTTCTTCAGCAGAAAGTACTTCTGCATATATTGAAGTGTTTTTCCAGCTATGAATTTAGGGTAGAGATTTATTTACCAAATGTGAATTCTTTTGAGGAAGTATGAAGTTTTGTAGAAATTGACTGTGAAATGTCAGAGAAAAATAAAAGTCACTTACTTGAAAACTATTTGGCCTTTATACTTTATAACTGCTGAAAAATACTAAGTGAAGTCCAGAGAATTGATTGACATTTCAAATGTCTGTGTGCGTGTCGTTTGGGAAATGCAGGCAGATGAACAGCCCGGGGTTCCCTAGAGTCTTGGGGGTGTAGATCGTTCAGCTGGGCAGAGTTACAGGAGAATGTAACCAGAGGAACGCCGCCACCTAATCTGACACCTTCACAAGCCTACTGGGGTCAACTAGCGCCCCATTAATTTCCTACAACAGAGAGGTTGTTCTTAGATGAGCATCTCCAGGCCTTTCCACAGGCTTCTTAGGCGTTGACCCTAAAATGTATGGAGACCTCCCAGCTCCCCAGTCCTACAGTTGTAAGACACCCCAGGCCCCCCCAACGACCCCCACTTATCTTCATTTAAAGGCCTGGGAGTTTGCTATACTCTAATTCCCACAACATTTCTGTTTTCTAATTAATTTTTTCAAAGTATGGCTGTCAGGCCACGAAACTGAAATTGTGAAGTGAGTGGGTGGCTAGAGAAGGCCCCTCCTTAAATAAAGACCAATTCCTACCATGGATTCGTGAAGGCACATGCAAGGGGGTGCTGGAGGCTCAGGAGAGGCCCGCGCCCTCCCCCACTCGTCCGCCTGGGACGCCTCTTCGCAAACAGGTCAGTGTGCGTAGTCCACCTTATCTGTGACATCGCTCAGACTTTAGTGTGGTACAGCGGGTCTGAGGCCTGGTGCACCATCACATCTGTGACTCATTAACGGAGTGGCTCTGGAGAACCCCTGGGCGCCCTTCCTGTCATCTGAATTGTGAAGCGCGGAAATGGTTCTCTTTACAGCGCTGACCGGCGCTGACCTTTTGGTAAGCTCTAGTATGTTACAGCTATAACATTAATAGATTAAAAAAGTTTAAACCTGGCCCTCCCTGGTGGCGCAGCGGGTTAAAGCACAGCACTGAGGAAGCTTAAGCCACTTCTGCATGAGTTCGATTCCCGCCTGCCCCGGAGGTGACCACATGGCGTGGCAGACCTCTCCTGGCCCGCCTGCTGCTCCCCCCAGCAGTGTACTTCCTCGATCTGCCTGTTCTGCTCCCCACTCTGTCTCTGGTGAATCCTCTCACCCTCCGCATCTCTGGCCTGAATGTATGAATAAATTAATTTTTTAAAAAAAAAAAAAAGTTTAAACCTGGGGTGTCTACAAAGCAGGTTCCTGGTACTCTGGCAAGATGGCGTTATGTTACAGCCCGTTGGGATTCTCGACCTACTGAATCTGGGTCTGGGTGAAGCGTTTGGCCAGTCCACACTGGCGTTGCCTTTCTCTACCTGATTGCAGCTGACATGGATTCAGTAGTTGCCACGTAAAAGACTGCCCTCAGAATTATTAGCCCAAAAGGAGAATAATTGGGGGTTAAATCACAGCTTTTCTAGGCTTCATCTGCAAGCAGTCCTTCCGTTTCATCTGAGATGAAGCAGTAACTGGTTTTATATTCCAAGAAGTATGTCTGTAGGCTTTTGTTATCTCCCAGATCCCCCCTCAGCCCATGCCACCCCCACAACCAGGGAGGTTTCTGCATGTGTTAGGAGCCTCGTGGGTAGACTGACCCTTACTTTTAAGGTAAACAGCCACAGACTACAAGGTATGGTGTGACTTTGTGAGGAATGTTCTGGCCTCAGCTCTCTGGATGTCACCTTGTGGCCAGACTGATAAGGATCAGAGCTGGGACCAGCCTGCTGGTGGCACAATGCCATCAGAACCGCTGGGGAGAAAGGCAACAGGAAGCCTTTATCTCTACTATCTCTGTTTCCTGTTCAAGAGGAGGAGAGTAAACCTTGTTGTCCCCGTGACTGAGCCGATGGCGCCTTGGCAGTGTTCTAAAATTGCCCCTCACAGCTAGGTGACCTCCCCACACACCAGCCCAGCGATGGAGTCCGGTGTCCCCGCTGTGGGGCTGTCCTCGCCTGGCATACGTGGCACCATCTCCTACCCATGGCTCAGTTAAAACGAATGGCAAGAGAGCAAATGGGAACCCAGCCTTTGGTTCCCCGGAAGGGGGTGCTCTGGGAGGCAGGGGGTCCTGGCACCACCCCGGTTTCTCCCTTGGAATCCTCGTTTTTAGGACACATGGCTTTCTGCTTTTCTCTCTTATGAGGGGTAGTTATGCAAGACCTTAGACAATTGCTGGAGAGAACACCCTGTATGGTTCCTGCCTGAAATTACAGCAGCTGGAAGAGATGAGCAAGAAAGAGAAAAAAACCTGTGGAGTATGAAGTTAACACAGCAAGTGGGTGGAAGCTGTTAGAAAACGAAGGCGAATGGAAACTGAAAGTGGGATCCCGAGGCCAGCCCGCGTGAGGGCTCCAGTCAGGTCCAATGATTAGTGTTCAGAGCGAGGCCTCCACAGTGACTTGAGAGCATAAGAGTAAAAATAGCTACCTCTCTTTCCCTAAAGACTCACTGTTCTGCAGCCGTGCCAGGCCGGGTCGCTTCAGGCAGCTGGAAAGAGAAGCTTGGAGCCCGTGGCATCAACCCCGCAGGTTAGAGGAGGCAAGCCAGCAGGGAGGCAGCAACCTGGGCCCCCCCGCAAATCCTACACATGCTTCTCTTCTAGCTATTCTCTGATGCTCTCTGCACCCTGCCGTAAGGGTCTGCTGCTGCCTCTGGCCTCTGCTGCCTCCCCCACATGCCCAGTCTCGGCTCATGTGTGCCCTCACGCACGCCCACACCCTACTCCAGGTGCCCCCATCAGGTGGCACAGGTGTCCACTGATGCTGATGGCGGGAAGGTGAAAAAGCCCCACCACTGCCATTTCCTCCACTCACTTCACCTCAGGAATCTTGTTGGCTTCAGAGGAAGAGTGCTTGATAATTCTGGTCATGTCTAGAACAGAGGGAGGCAAGAGCCTCAGTCCTCACAAACCTTTGATGGCTGGGTGGGCAGGTGGGAGTCCTTGACCGGGAGCCCACCCTCCTGTTGCAACTGACAGTGCAGCAGGTCCTGGTTCCTGGCTGAACAGCCAGGGCCTGCGACTACCTGTCAGTGGTAAAGCTGTGATGATGCCCCTACAGATGCCCTTCCAAAGTCAAGGAGGGAGAAGCTTGAAGATGCCCAAACGCCCTGGCCTGCGGCTGGCAAATGCAGGAGCCTGGTTCCGGAGGCCTGGAGCTCCTTCTAGAGCGTGCCTGCTTGCCTCCTCTGTCCTCCAGCCAGGCTCCTGAGCTGCTCCTGCTGGTCACGGAGACTGCCGAGGAAATGCAAATGAGCGTTCCTTTAAGCAAAATATACAGAGGCAGGGCAGTGACCTGTCAAAACAAACAGCTCAGGATGCCCAGGGCTGACAAGGCAAGGACAGGCCTTGTCAATGCGCTTCCATAATGACCTAGCGCACTGGCTGGCCAAGAGGGGCCGAGACAACTTTAAGGTGCAAGTCTTCTCTTAAAGCCGCCAACTCAATGCTTGTCTGGTCAAGGTGTATTTGGGAGTATGTGCTTCTTTCATTCTAGAAGCATCTTCCAAGCCTCAGTTACACTTGCAGCCATTGGCCAGTAAGTTACTATGGTAGCATAGTCAGGGCTGCCGCCTGGCCCCACCAACCACAGGGGTCCAAGAAAGTTAGGAATGGAGAGTTGGAAGTGTTGATATAGGCACATATATTAATTAGGCAATGAGATCATCGACGCCCAAGCACATTAGGAGAGAGTTCTGGGCGGTGATCCTGCTCAGTGTTTCCCGCCCTGCTTAGTGTTTCATCTGCTGATTCCTGAGCTCATCTGCACAGCACCTGCATCTGCATCTGCTTCCCTCAGCCTTCCCAGGCTGCCTCCCGTGGAAGCCTTCATAGCACTCCAAGCATAAACACCTCAGGTTTTGCACTTCATGGCCTCACCCTCCTCTGCTCCTGGTCTGGCTGCATCAAACACTTACTGAGCCCAGGGCCTACAACAGCCACATGTGTGCCTGGCTTTGGAGACCTCACAACTGAGCCAGGTGTGAGTCACCGGGAAAGTCACAAAGTCTTATGCCCAAGGCCAATGACTGGGCAAAAGTGAGGGCTCACTCCAGGGCCTGGAAAACAACTTGGCCTTGGTGGGTCCTACAGCTTATACTAAGAGGAAGGGGGACAGTGGTTTGGCCAAAGGAAAGAGCATGAATGCAGGCCTGGTGGCGAGAAGTATCACAGCTTTGGCCTGGGTCTGCACTCTGTGTGACCATAGCAAGCTATATAAGCCCTCGGGCCTTGTTTCCTTGATTTCTGGGTCACTATCTAAGATGATCGTGCCATAAAGTGGCTGGTACAACCAAGGACAGGGCAGCCTTGCCCACACTACCACACCATGGGGTAAATAGTAACCATGAGATTGCTCCTTTAGGCAAAACATGCTGTTCTAGGAAAAGGTGAGCTGGACTGGGCTGGGTCCAAGGTCAGCCTTTCACTTTGTACTTACAGACAGTGAGCAGCAAACCAGCCTAGCTCGCTGCCTCCTGCACCCTGCTGCACCCAGAACAGAGCCCCTCCTTAGTCCACACCCTGGGGAGTACTTGGCAAGCATATGCTCCCCAGCCTGTCCAGGCCTCACCCTTCTTCAGGGCCATACATCCAGGAGGTGGGGAGCGCAGAGGAATCAGAATACTGATTGTCAGCCCCCCACTGGGAATCCTTAACCTTACACCCGCCCATTCTCCCCGCTGGTCGCTTGGCCTCTGGTCTCCACACGATCCACCCTCCACACCTGTCCCAGGCAAACCTCTTCGACACCCCCTTGTCCACATGATGCGCTCCTCAGCTGTCTCCCCTCAGCCATTCTAGCCTTGGTGCTTAGTGGAAGCCCTGCTGAGCTTTTGCTATCCCCATGCCCAGACCAGTTCTGTCAGAGTCTCTGGGAGGTGAAACCTCCTCTTGCCCCACCCCCATCAGTGATTATGGAAACGCCTCAGGTTGCTACAGGTGTGCAGACAAGGCTGGGTGCTACTGCATCAGCTCCCTTTTGTGGGGCTGGGGTTGGAATGGGGGATAAGGAGGGACTAGCTGCACGGGGCAGTACGTGTGGTCAGCAGCATGGCCCTCCCTGGGCCATAGGCCTGGCCCTGCTACCAAGTCAAGT